CCCCCCCCCACTCGCCTGTTAATGTTGATGACGTGTCCGTCCTTGATGTCGTGCTTCTTCATGCTGTCGATGCCCAGCGAGCAGCTTATCAGCAGGGCCGTGACGTTGATGAAGATTAGCCTCTCAGCTTCTGCAGGGTCCTGGTCTGGACCAGATAGTCGAGATCAGACCCTCAGCCCCGGGATTGCGAGCTTAAGGTCAAAATGGCCCCCGTCAAGGGTTGAGGTTGAGTACTCACCCTGGATAGCCACCTGCGTCGCTACGGCAGCGTTGTTGACCAGGACGGAGATGCCGCCCAGGTTGTCGTCCACCCACGTGAAGACGCGGCGCAGCTCGTCCGCGCAGGAGAGGTCGGCCTGGAGCGGCTCCAGGCGGCCGCGGAGCCCGGCCAGCGCGGCGGCCAGCGCCTGCATCCGCTCCAGGCGCCGCGCCACGCCCACCACCACCATGCCGGCGCGCACCAGGTCCTCGGCGAGCTGCGCGCCGATGCCGCTGCTGGCGCCCGTCACCACGGCCACGCGGCCCGCGAAGCGCTCCATGCTGAGGGACTTGTGGCGGCCAAGGGGCACCTCTGCTCTGCCGCCGACAGGCCCAGACCCAGGGCGCCGTAACTTAACGTAACGCTGTTACGTTACAAATTTGTTCAGTACCAAAATATTTCGTTCTCTTCACCGTTTCTGTACAGTAACTTGTAACGTAACGAACCTCGTGATCAATATTGTTACGTTTTTGTACCTCTTGCAATCGGTTATCACGAATGTGGTACGAAAGATGTAACGTTATGTAGTGTCAATCCTAACCGTTACGTTAAAATGTAACGTTACAAAGGAAACATAAGATTTGCTACGGGTAGCAACGTTACAGTGTTATCACGAATAATAACAATTAGTAACGTTACTCTAAGCCGTACCTCTGCGTTAAACTGACACCGCCCACTTCCGAAGTTATACTGTACCGCCACGCACAAGAGCATAGTGGGTTGCCTATTCGCACAGTCGTAAGGGGCCACGGCTGGAGACGATAGGCAAACTCGTACATACGCACGCGCACGCTTTCGTTTCCAGTGAAGGCATACGAAGCAAATTGACGCGCCTGCTAGTGCTATAAAGAGACAAGAGGAAACGAGGGGGGGAGGGGGAAACCTGATTTTGACTACTTGCATGTAAAACGTAATCTGTTTCGCCTATCCGTAAGACTCGGTAAGACTTATTAATAAATGCTTCATTTCCAAATCTCCCACCAACTCCTCCCCCCTGCATCCGATGGCGATCACGTGGCTGTGCCGGCGCCGGGCAGGTGCAGATCCAGGCAGAGTCTGAGGGGATAGCGAACCACCGTTTTCCACTTACAAGCGGAAGAGTAGAGCATTTTGGGGGAATTACTCGAAGCTTCGAAGTTC